TAAAAGGCTGCATGAGAGACAGTTGTATTCAATGGGCCCATACGTTTTCAAAATAGAAGTACATGGCGTGGGGCAATTTAGTCAAGACAGTTCAAAGTTTGTAGCACTTTAATTTGTTTTAGCCAATCATGTTACGTCACTTATCCTGAAATGACCAAATTGTCCTTTAAATCCTAAGCAGACGTGTCGTCCAGCTTTGTGCTAACTCCCTCTTATTAGACTAGTAGAATGTGATGTCAAGTGTTCATTGACACCCAAAAAAAAAACTTATTTACATAGAATTTCTCTAAAATTTTAACATAACGTAAACTTTGAATACCATACAAATTCCCAGTTGGACAAAGATCCCCAACTTTAGAGTCATTCTATTATTTGTATTTCCTTCAAATTCAAATATATATCTCATAATCTTCCACCTTAAGAAAACACTAAACATAGTCCTAATTAAGTATTAATTCATTAGCTTCATATTCAAATGAAGCTTAAATCCAAGTTGTGTTACTTTCCAGAATAAATAAAAACTGAAGGCATCCGTAGGAAAAGATAAGAATGTAACTACTCCATAAGATTAAGATGCAAATGTTAGAGACTATCCCAACCCGTAAACCATAATGAAGCTCAACTATTACAGCCATGGCGACAACAACAACAAACTCAGTGGGAGGGTAAGATGTACGCAACCTAACTCCTACCCCTACAAAGACAGAGAGGCTATTTCCGAAAATGCCCGAAGGCAGGCTTAGAGTGGCTCATTAGGTTATTTAATGTCATTTTTAGAATGAAGAAGATGCCCGAAGAATGGAGGTGGAGCACGATGGTTCCTGTATACAAGATCAAGGGTGATATCCAAAATTACAATAACTATCGGGGTATCAAGTTGCTTAGCCATACTGTGAAAATCTGGGAGACAGTGGTCGAGCTAAGGGTGATGAGGTGTGTGTCTATTTCTGAGAACCAGTTTGGTTTATGCCGGGGCATTCGACTACAGAAGCCACCCACCTTGTTAGGAGATTGATGGAGCAATATAGGGAGAGAAAGAAAGACTTGCATATGGTATTCATCGACTTGGAAAAGGCGTACGATAAAGTTCCAAGGGAGATTTTGTGAAGATGTTTGGAGGCTAGAGGTGTATCTGTTGCCTACGTTAGGTTGATTAAGGACATGTATGATGGAGTAAAGACCCGTGTGAGGACGGTAGGTGGGGACTCGGACTATTTCCGGTGGTGATGGGGTTGCATCAGGGGTCGGCACTCAGCCTTTTTTTTGCTCTAATGATGGATGTACTGACGCGCCACATCCAAGGGGAGGTGTTGTGGTGCATGCTGTTTGCAGATGATATTATACTGATTGACGAGATACGAGATGGTGTGAACACGTAATTAGAAGTATGGAGGCAGACCCTGAAATCTAAATGTTTCAAGGTGAGCAGGATCAGACAGAATACTTGGAGTGTAAGTTTAGTGGCGAGACTCAAGGAGGGGAAGGGGAGGTGAGGCTGGACTCGCAGGTCATCCCTAGGAGAGAGAGTTTTAAGTATCTTGGGTCTATTATTCAAGGGGGTGGAAAGATTGATAAAGATGTCACACATCGTATTGAGGCGGGATGGATGATATGGAGACTCGCTTCCGGTATTTTATGTGACAAGAATGTGCCACCGAAACTTAAGGGTAAGTTCTACAGAGTGGTAGTCAGACCAACGATGTTTAATGGGGCTGAGTGTTGGCCAGTCAAGATTGCTCATGTCCAGAAGATGAAGTAGCAGAGATGAGGATGTTGAGATGGATGTGCGGGCACACCTTATTAGATAGGATCAGAAATGAGGTTATTCGCGATAAGGTGGGTGAGGCCCCTATTGAGGACAAGATGCAGGAAACGCGACTTAGGTGGTTTGGTCATGTGAGGAAGAGGAGCACAGACGCCCTGGTGAGGAGGTGTGAGAGGTTGATATTGGAGGGCCTATAGAGAGGTAGAGGTAGGCCAAAGAAGAGGTGGGGAGAGGTGATTATGCAAGATATAACATAACTTCAGCTGACCGAGGATATGACCCTTGATAGGAAGGTATGAAAGTTAAGAATTAGGGTAGTAGAGTAGGTAGTCTATAGTGTTCATAACAGTAGTATTGACACGCAGTCTCGCTTTCTGTTGATAGTAGGTTTTTATGACTAACCATTATTTTCTTTCAATATTGATCACCTTACTATCTTGTTATTTTTATTCTGCTTTTATATGGCTTTTTGGTACTATCCCTTCTTTTCTATATTTTCATTAATGTAGTGCTTATACTTTCCTGAACCGAGGGTTTATTGGAAACAACCTCTCTATCCTCACAAGGTCGGGGTAAGATTTGCGTACACACTACCCTCCCCAAACCCCATAGTATGGGATATTAGTGGGTATGTTGTTGTTGTTGTTGTATTAAGGAGTCATTTGGTTGGAATACGACTTATGCCGGTATTGGGATAGGTTATGTTTGGATAAGTTATGCTGGGATTATTGTTTATTCACTGTTTGGTATGTTGTATTAAGAATGACAATTGCATAATTTCTAAGAAGGTATAAGTTGTACCAGTGCTAATTACCCAACCCTCTATAAGATATAAGTTATCCCGATGTTAATTTAACACCGGAATAATTTATACCAGGTTTGCTAGCCAAACAGAATATTAAGGTGATATTAAATTTTTATAATACCCGATACCTTGTTATATCTGATACCAAACGACCACTAGAGAGCTCCAAACATAGGGTATCCATTAATAATAAACACTTGTTCAAATTTTAAGGTTTCTTTTCTGTTTTGGCCCCTTGCCACCAGCCGGCGTTGGTGATCTTCACGTATTGACTTTTGCTAAAAACATCACCATTTATGAAACTTGAAACAATCTTAATTCTTCATATTTTTCCTTAATCTCATCAAATCCCATATACACTAACACATTTCTTTTTCAAATGTCATTAGCTACCCATTTTTCAGCATTCCTTTTCCTTTTTACAATAGGCATTCGCCGTCTAATTTTCTGCATTTCCAATTACCTCAAAAACCCATCACTCTATAGATCAAGAACATGGTATTTCTCAGAACCCAAATGGAAAAATCTTGATTTATACTCTCTTTTAATCATTCTCCCCATTGCCTCATTTTCTCATGTATTTCTCTTCCTAGCTTTTTCAGGCACCAACATAACTTATAAATTCTCATTCTTACAGCAATCTTTAGTCATTTTCCTCTTTTGGGTACTCTTAATTCTTATCATAATTAAAGAAAGTTTTGATCTCTATGCAATTCTTGATAGTTTTGTTTACTGTTTTGCTGGTGTTTCTTTTGCTGTTGAATTCTTGATGAATGGGAAAGGACTTGTTGGTCTTAGTGGTAATGTGTATGGACATTTAGGAGAATTGGGACTTGTTTGTGCTGGTTGTTGTTTGTGTTTAGCAGTAAATCCATGTGCTTTTTTTGTGGAGTTTTCGTTTTCCTCTGTGCTTGTATTGAAAGGGACTTGGGTTTTGCAAGTGGGGTTGTTGTTATATACTGATTTTTTTACTGTAAAAGGGTGTGGGAATCTTTTGGCCACGTTGGCAAATGGGAAGAATGATGTGAAATGTGATCTTGATGAGAATAAGTTGAGGGGAATTGCATTGATGAATCTGATGTTTATAGTGCACATCATCGTGGTGATGATCGTGAGCTTGGGGTTGTTTGCATTGTTGAATAAGAGTAAGAGGATGAGATTTGGTGATACGAGTGGACCGTTGCTAGCACAGGTTGGGTCAGAGGGCGTGTTGATGCGTCCGCTTCCTGAATTAGAGATCGAATGAGAAGTCCTGATGTTCTTTGATAGAGCAGCATTTGTAAGTTTTGAATTTGCAGATGTTTTTTTTTGTCCTATATAGGAAAGTGTAACCTTTTGTTTCACTTGAGCTTCAATGCTTTTTCTAATGTACCTTACTAGAATGAAAGTTTTCATTTCTGATACTTCCTACTATTGAATGAAAAGGAGTGTCTATAGTTCATTATATTATTGTTATCTTTCTATATTTCTATATTCATTCTGGTTATTAGTGGCAAAATGCTGGTAGCCAAAGAAAGAACTTCTTGAGTCAAACTGCGTACTTGGCTTTAAAGTAAGTATCATCGTACTAAATAGAAAAGCATAAACAAAATAGGTATCTTCATTTTTGCACGACGGATTGCTGTGAATTCTACAAAAGAAGGAAGGTCATCCCTTCTTCAAATGTGGGGAATCTATGAAATACAAAAGTTCATTTACATCATCTGCAAGTGAAATTTTTACCAATGAGCTAAGACCGTTAAACAAAAAGCCTTGGTGCTATAAGGAGGAATGAATTTTCCTCCAAAGCATCTGGAGTTCCTTTTCCCGAAGAGTCCATACAGCGCAAACAGGGAACAGTGATGGGCGAACCATGTTTTCTGCTTTCCTGAGTAATTTATCTTGGTATTATCCTAAATCAAAATCTCATATGTCACTCTTACAAGTTAGAATTCTCTCCCTTTTACCTCTCCTTTTTTTGTTGCTACTATTAGAGTTCTCGCTTTTCCTTTCATGTCAATGCCAAGGGAGGCTGACTTCTAGTCTTGTATACATGTCCCTCAGTTCCTAAATGTGATCGCTCATCAAAATACTTGTTCATAGACCTCATTTTCATATATTTCAAGTGTGTCAAGAGTCTGAGCAATTTATCTTTCTTTTCAGAATTCTTGTATTTATTGATGTACAGCAGATATCAAGTTACTTTATATACTTTTGTATGACCTGAAGAAGGAAAGAAGAGAAAAACATTACATACTTTTGTCATCCGTACTGCATCTCTGACTCTAGGATGTGGAGGTGTCTGCTCAATTATTTGATGTTTATGTTAAAGGAAATCAAAGCTAGTCTAATTGATAGTGGAATAGTTATAAGTTCCCATTCGGTGGTAAGAAGGTAACGACCTGATCTAGTGTTAGTGGACAGTTGCACTAAACATTGATCTTCAAACTGTTGATCATCAAATAGAAGAGAAACTTTCTTACTTAACAGCTAGAGTAATATGGAAATATGGATGTAAACTGTGAAAGAAGTATAAAACAACTCCTGACCAACACGTTTATTGTGCTTTAATATTTGTACATAGTATACGGGTATCTATATGTATTGCCAACATTTGAGAAGGTGACAAATACAGAGGTGTTGTACGTGTTGGATTGTACCAACTATCCTGACTCAAGGATATTTCGTCCCTTGTGAAGAAACTCTGACCATAAGCAGAATCCATTAATTATGTTGAGGAGAAGTATCTTTTTCCAGCTTTCTATACTTTGTCTTGGAGGAGAAGTTGGGGAATGACAACCATTTTCGACGAAAACGGCCGAACCCGTGGATTTTTAATCTCGAATGAATCCTCTTAAGTTTACTGGTGAAATCGCTTCTATATCTGAGTATTTTGGATTTTGAGAAATTTACCAACTTTTTCATGCGTTTATATCCTGCATAAATGTTGTTTGGAAAGAAATGAGGAGAAAGTTAAAGAAAATGGAATAGAGTTAGAAAAACAGTGAAAAAAGAAAGGAAAAAAAAAATAGCAGGTAAGTGGCTTCAAGCTAATAGAATTTACGGTCTTTCATTATGAAACATATGATAAATCCACAGAATTCTTCTCTGTCTTTGCTTCTACTATATGTGCATAAATTTCATAAATCTTGTCATACTGTTTCTTGTTGTTAGTTTCTCTTTAGCCTTTCCATTCAGATATATGTTAACCTCAGAATCTAATATTCATACCTTTCACCTCTTTAATCTGTTGGTCATCTTGAAGTCCTGTTTTCTGTAAGACCTGCAAGTTGCAATCAGATAGTAGTTCATCACTGTGCATATTTTTGCAATGACATCTTGATGTGCAGAGAATAAGAGAGGTTCTGCTGTTTACCTCAACTAGGCTCTTCAGACACGTTCTCATCCTTCTTTGTATAAATCCTCGAGTACTCTGTTTGATGCAGAATTTAGCATAAGTTGTTTGTAGGTGTAATGCCATGACTATAGAAGGATTTTTACCTTTACATGATTTTTGACAAATGCGTAAAAGTTCAGAAGGTTCCACACTGTCTTATCTAGCCTTTTGCCTTCAATATGGCGTGAAGTAATATCTGTGAATCCCATGATAAAAAAGGTAATTATCAGGCCAACTCCAATTCCAAGATTTAGAGAAGTCAAGGGAACACTAATATATGCATCTTCTAAGTTTACAAGTAGACCTCTTTTTAAATGTCCGTTTCATATCATCACTCATGTTTTAGGAAGTTTTTGGAGTCTGTTTTTTCTCCAAAGCTTAAGTAACGTAAACATTTTCTTTTTGCTTTTATCAAATGCTTCATTTATATTAAAGAAACAGTAATTTTATGTATAGACGTGAGGTGCTAAAAGGACTTAAGTTGATACCAAAAGAAACAAACCCTCCATTTGTGCTCAAGTCTTCAATTGCTTCTCCTCTTAGCTCGGGAGGTGGAATAGGGGACCAGATGCAATGGGGTGCCTTAGCACATGCTTTTGAATTTGCAACATCCATTAGTTCCTGCTGGGGAAACTGTTAGTTATCCTGAACGCTTGAATATAATAAAGCCATACGTGCTATTAATTGCAACTTCATACATGTTATAAAATTGTCTTACCTGGAAGAAAGTTGTAGCTATAATCACATCTGTTTTCTCCTTAAAACGCATCGGAAATACTGCTGTGATTTTTTGGGGCTGTCACAAATGTGAAGTTACATATTAAGAAGCATGAAGCTGTATTCTCTCAAATAAATCTCATATTTTAGGAAGGAATTTATCTCTACATTCTTTTTTTGGAGAATCTTTTCTCTTCATTCGAGTGCAATTTATTATAAATTTTTTAACCAAAGTCAATCATATAGTTTCTGTTCATGTGCCATATGTTGAACTTAGCATAAAGCAGTAGCTATATGCAGTAATTTGGAAGTATTGTATGGCCTAGTTTAGAATTTTATTTCAACATGCTTCCAGTGTGTTTAAGAGAAATGCCTGCAATCTGTCCTTCCTTTACAGCTTCCTGAATTGGCATGAGAAAAGGTGTGTACTTTCCGTATAGTATACATTTGATGTAGTGCTAATTGATTAGGTGTGAATATAACGCTTGCAATTAAGTTCATTGCAAGTAGAGTTCACAATTCAAGGCTGTAAGACGTTTGATTTTAATGTTTGAGTAATAAATCATTCTGCAGATATTAAAGTCTGAAATGGACTTGAAATTTGTTGGTATCAGAAAAAATTTGATGTTCTTACTTTGATTTTTTTTTAATTTTGTTTTTAGTATAATTTTGTCACTTTTTGTTTTGTATTTCGACCTGCATGTAAATGAACTGATTGTTTCTCAAAAAGGGTTGCAGCATTATTTCTGCCCCATAATTCATTTTAATCCCTTTACTGATGTTCTGCCAATGTGGATCAACCTACTTCCAAGGTAATGTTAGCTTAGCTAGTCTTACATTGAGCAGAGCTACTTATCTGCATAGTGTGTTCATTTACTTGGCGTTAAATTTGAAGTAGTATTTTCAGTGATGGTGATTGAACAAAGTTCTATCATAATGCGGATTACCTGTTTTATGACATAAAATGGCTCTCTTGGGTGATAGACAAGTTTGATTGGTTTGTACATTCCTTGAGCCACATCTTGCGAATTCACATTCATCAGCATTTCTTCCAGCTGAGAACTCAGAATTACACCTTGCACAGCAGCAATGTCTGTGATCGTTTTTATCGACTCTGAAAAGAACACGAGACAACACAATTTTATGAGCACCACTGCACTGCGTAATATTATCATAGTGGTAAATGGTTGATTCATTACAGAAGGGGGGAAATATTTTAGCGATTTAAATTAGAATATCCAGAAAGAAATTGTCTTAACAGCATAAAATGAAGATGGCAGACATCTCTCTTGGAAGCAACAATAATATATCTGAGTTTGTTTTAACTTGCATCTACATATTTTTTGGTCTTTTTTAGGACTATTTTGATCCTTTACTTGACCCAGGTTGTTAAAATGATGGAAAAAGCATCTTCTGCATGTTTTACAATAAATGATTCCCAGTTTCAGTACATTTAATCACCCTCTGCTCATTTTAGTTTGAAGAACTTGAAATGGATGGGCTTGGTATCAGTAATGGCCAACTGAAACGTGTATCTAAAGACAGGTATTATTTTCTTCTGTTCCTTTTAATTTTTTCCATTAAACTTGATAACTAGTCTTATTTCTTTATGCGAACATTAGTGTATCCCTGTTTTGAATTTTTCTAGACATGACTCTCCATAGAGCTCCTTCTTTCGTCCTTATTTTTTTCTTCTGTAGTTTCTTGAACCTGTTGAAGCTTATTGTTGCCGAAAGACATATAATTAAAAGTGCTCAGTAAACCTCCACCATACAGTGTCTTTGCATCTGTAGTGAGAGTTAATCTTAATTCTTAAGTGAAACTGTTCTAGCAGCAAGAAAGATGTGATTATAACTTTACAAAGCTCCAGCTACTTGACTAGAAAGTTCAATTTTGTTCCACTATCCATTGCTCGATTTTGTGAAATAGCCTCTTGCATAAATGCAAGGTTAAGGCTGCATACATAAGAGCCAAAATAGCCCATTCCTTCCCCGGACCCCGCACATTGCGGGAGCTTATTGCGCGGGCTGCCGTTCTTACCCATGGCTCACTTTCATCTTATCTTCTGCATAACAAAGTGGAAGTAGCTGACCACGGTAATGGTTCTCTTTTTCGCTTATGGCGCCACATTTAATTGTTTATTGCATGATCTATCATTCTGCTTCTGTGATGTTTCTAAAACAGGAAAAAGAGAGAAGGAGAGTAGAGTTGATGCGAGGAATTTCTAACCTTTACCATGCGGCATTCTAGCAAAATTGAGTCGTAAAGTCAGCTGATATCCTTCTTTTGGAGGTTCCACAATCTCCAGAACATCAGCACTAATTGCCTTTACCTTCTCCATAGTGTAACGTGATAGCCGAGTTGAGATCAGGAATGCTTGAGACAGAATTGGAGTTGATATTGATAAGTAGGTACGATCAGGATCTGACACCGTGGACTGATATAAAATATTTAAAAAAAAAAAGAAGTTATGGAAACTTTAACACACATATTTGGGATTGTTAAAATATCAGCAAAATTTAAAGCAATAAAATGCAATTTCTCGACTTGGAGTCCTTATTTCATATAAAAATAGTTGCTTAAACTGTTCTTTTGTACCGCGAACTTCAACCCGCTATGGAATATGTGCTTTGTGGTTGCTTGTTGCTCTTACCTGAACGTAATATTCAACGGACCCAAATTCATGAAGGTGATGGTCGACATCAATGGTCCGTTCATCTCTGTCTCAAGGAAAAAAAACATGTTCATTATAAGAGTTTTATTTTTTACATCAGTGTTGTTCAAGAACTTAAGATTCACTCCAGGAAGAAAAACATTCGAGGACTGCTTAAAATTTAGTTAGTTGAATCTACAGTGAATTACTTGTACTTATTCCCTCCCTTTTTTGATATTTGATCTAAATGGACCTCAGCTCCAGTTTAAGAAGCACCTATCCCCTCCCTTTTTTGATATTTGATCTTAGATACCACCAAATGAAATCCGTAAAATCACCTGTTTAAAATGGATAGGGTCAGAGAACTTTTTCTAGGGTATTGCCGCTCATGCCCTTTCTAGAGGATAAACATTCAATGAATTCAAGTTCTGTAGTATTTTTCCACAAAAACCCTATTCTTAGCTTGCCAATTACTGAGTGCCATGGTCTGTTTTGCTTTACTAAACTAGACAAGGAGGTCTATTTCGTCTTGCTAAACTTGTGGGAGGTCCATTTTGTTGCTAAACTAGAGGGAGGTTCAAGTAATTCACCAAGTTTCCTGAAAATGAACAAATTATCAGTTGATTTAAACTTTGCATCAATCTGTAATCAGCATATCTTTACCTAGATTTCTTGTGTGGTCAACCTCTTGACTGTAGAAAAGGAAGTTTCATATCAGACGTCTCTATTTATTTGATGTTATTGATGTGTCTTTACTATTTGGGTTTCGTATAAAGCTCTTGAATATAGACTATATACTAATGGTACAGATCCTAATAGAGCGAAATGGATAGTTAGGATTCATATGCTAACCTCAACTAGCTTGTGATTGAGGCGTAATGGTTGCTGCTGTTTTCATATAAATCTCTATTGAGATAATTCTCCAAACTCCATATTGTACTTGACCGAACTAACTTCCAAACCTCCCAACCTATGCCTCTTCTTCTCCCCCCCCCCCCCCCCCCCC